TTCCCACCTAAGGATCACTATTAGTAGGTTTCATTTGCAGGAAGACTAGTCACCTGCAATTGGGAAAAGATCTTTTTAAAAAAGTTTATCTATTTTGAGAGAGGGAGGGAGGGAGGGAGGGAGGGAATCAGAGAATCCCAAGCAGGACAGCCCGACGGGGGACTTGATCCCACAAACTGCGAGATCGTGACCCAAAGTGAAATCAAGGCTCAGATGTTTAATGGACTGAGCCACCCTGATGCCCCAGGAATAGAGGATCTTAAATAAAGATCATGGGGTATATGTGTGTGTGTACATGTGTGGGGGGGTAGTGGTAAGGGAGTTCATTTATCTGTGTCATCCCATTATAACCAAAAACTCATGCAAGAGATTACATTTCTTAGCTCTCTGCTCAGTCTAGTATTTGAACTGGTTGAATCCACTGATGTGCACTCAGATGGTCGAGCAGAAGGAAATCCTGGCTTGGAACGTAGGGAACTTGGGCCTTCTGTCTAGATCTGATGTGATAAAATTGCGGTATGTGGAACATAGGAAATTCCGCCTCTCTGGGCTTCAGTTTTCTCAATTGAAAAAGGCGACATGCTGACAATCTCCAGTTTGAGTAGCCTGGGGGACTCGACGCCAGGGCGGGGCTGGCCTTACTCAGGTCAGAAGGATCAACCTGCTCTGACAAGGGAGTTGTTTCCGGGGACTGTGAAAAGAGGAACGGCCTGATGATGGACTAACTGAAACAAACTAGTGTCAAAACTTCACTTCGACTAACCCACAGGGTCAGTTTCCCGGCAGCTGTGTGGGCTGCAGGAGGCTTCTAAGGTAGAAACTTTTCCCTGCTGCCTTGTTTACTCTCAGGGAAGATACCACTGTCAAACTCATAAGGTTAGGGTGGATCTTCCTTTTTTAAATCCACAGATACACTTCTGCTGCCTGGCTTTGTGGATAATTCCTTGAAGGACCTATACCGATTTTTAAACGGGTAAAACATTGTACTTGCACTTGACAGCGAGTTCCTTCTCTCTCTGTTTTGGAACAATCTGGGGGTTTCTTCCCCACTTTTTTTTTTTTTTTTTTTTTTACCGTGGTCAAATACACATACCATAAAATGTACTATCTTATCCATTTTTAAGTGGACAGTTTGGTGGTCTTAATGTATATTCATACCACAGAGGAACCACCACCACCACCACCCGTGGCCGGAAGGGAGCGATATGATCCGAGCTAAGGAAACCTCGAGGGGATCACCCAGTGAGCGCTGCACATGGAAACACACCGCCCTCTCGGCTCTGTCTAGGTTCTTGTCTAGAGTCAGGAGCTACACCTTTCTAACTGTCCTGACTTAAAAGAAGTTTCCTTCTGAAGTCGACTTCTCTTTCTGGGGTACAAGGAATGCATTTGTAGGAGAAGTAAGTAAGTACTTTAAGGCTGTTTCCTTAGGGTGGTAGAAACAGGCCTTTGAGCACAGCCTTGCTCAAAGAACCAGCCTGGCTGCAGCCCCAAGGTCTGTACACTTCAAATAAAGGGCAATGGGCATTTTCACTCGTGTTCTCCTTTGCCACATTTTCATGCACGGGGTACCGTGAAAGCCAAGGTGACTGCCAGAGTACCTGGCTGAGGAAAAGCCTGCCAGGTCCGGGACATCAACTGTGAAGTACACAGAATGGATCGGTTCAACCTGACTGCAAATTACTACCCCGATGAGAGACTTCCCAAACCTAAGTACCAAAAACCTCGCCCGGCTCTGTAAGCACACAGGGTGCACAACGTGCACCCAGCTGCCAATACTCCGCTTCTGAGAATGAGCATTCCTCTTACCCCCAAAATCCTGTGTTCCCATCTGGTTAGGCCATCTCATATTCCCGCAGGGAGCCAAGGAAAATGCCTGTTTTCTCACCTTTGGAGGGTGGAGAGGAGAATCAAAAAGTATACGTTTGGGACAGAGGTGGTGAGTGGGGGTTTGGGGACAGTGGACTAGGAATTAAAGCCTTCCACCAGCTGAGGGCCTTGAGGGGCAGCGGCAAATTACTTACCCATCTGAGTAACAATAAAAACCCAACCCTCAAAGCCTGCCTATTCCATTCTCCTCAAAGGATTGGCGAGGATTCAGGGAAGAAATTGACGTGAATGAAAGTAACATATGACAATCAGTAGCAAGAGTAGCAAATTGTAGGGAGAAGCCATTTTAGGGCGAGAGAAAGGAAACTCTGGGTGGTTATGGAAGCAGATTAGGAAAGGTGTGAGAACGACACAAACTAGGATTTATTCAATGGACCGTAGAAAGGAACGGATTTCTACACGTGGTGTCATACAGCTAATACGTTTCTTTCAAACCAGTGTGAGAGCAGTAACAGCAATGGCAAGGTCAGGGTGCAGAGAACAATAAGACTGGTAAGGAAGGACATCAGACAAAAGATGGTTCTTTCTCTTAAAAAAAAAAAAAGTTAACGCTTTACTCAATTTTTTCTAATTATAAATGTTCAAAGGAGATAATTTGGAAAATACCATAGAGGAGAGAGAAGAAAAGAAAATCCACCTGTTACCACTGTCAGTATCTTGAAAGACGGCCCCCCAGTCTCACCAAAGACATTCCCCAAAGCTTGGAGACGGGCTAGCCGGGACACATTCAGTATGCGGGGACAGACTGAGTTTGAGATTTTTGACAATGAGAAGACAGTGCTGCTATTACCAAGACAGAGACAGGTGGCCAGGGAAGAAAGGGGACATCCGGCAGAAGGATGCAGCACGTGGGAGCACAGGGACAGGGCCCCTTAGAGGGGCACAGCATTTGGGAAGGCGGAGCTTCCGTTCAGTGACCTCCGTGTCCTGACTCCCACTCTAACGAGGCAGAGACGAGATCTTACTTACTCCTGCCACAGGCCTGATAATTACAGGACGTGACAGAAGCGCTATCATTACAATGGCAATCACATTACAATACCTTAATGTATCAAACCAATGTGGTGTACACCTTAAATTTACACCGTGTGACATGCCAAGTATACTTCAATTAAAAAAGGACTCAGACTCCACAGTGGTGGCAGTACTACCTGCCGACTTACATTCTGACCCTTATTCTCAGCTCAAGCCACAATCCACACAGAGGGGTGTGTGTGCGTATAGAGCAACGTGTGTGTGCACGTGTGTGTGTGCATGCATGCGTGCGTGTGCGTGTGTGTTCCACAACTAAAATTTAATGAGTAACTGGGGGCACCAAAGCGGCTCAGTTGGTTAAGCGTCTAACTCTCAGTTTTGGCTCAGGTCACAATCTCCTGGTCCCGGGAATCGAACCCAGAGCCTATTTGGGATTCGTTCTCTCTCCTTTTCTCTCTGCCCCTCTCCCACACACAACGTGTGCATGTGCTCTCTCTCTCAAAATAATAAAACATTTTTAAAAAAATAAAGAGTAACTGAAACTTGATTAAAGAGAAACCTGTTTAAAAAAACAACTCAAGCCACTGCAAGGTGTTTTATAACTGGATTAAAAAAAAAACACATGAATCTGGATTATCTGTGGCCATTAATGTTCGCTTTATGAAAGTTACCTGTGTCTACATTCTGGAGTAGAGGGTAAAAAAAAAATCTAGAGGTAGTGATGGTCTATTTACATTTTGGGAAATTTGAACATGAGGTGAAAAAATGCATTTATTTCCCCACGCTTACTGTGTGCACATCTCATCAATGTGTCCGGTTAACTTTTTAAATGAAGGTTCAAACTGCCTTAAACATGGGAATATTCACAATGTTCCCCTTAGGAGGCCTTCTATGGTTTTATCCTAGTCTGCGCTCAAAGCCCAGAGGCGGAGCCAGGTTATCTGGTTATCTCTACAGCCAGTTTTACTGTTCACGGGCCTGGAATGGATTGAGAAACCCCATCAAAGGAAAACAGTTCTTATCTTCTAAGAAAACCTAACAAACATACAACGGCTGTGAAGAGTGTGACACTGCAAGGGTCTCGCTCCTCAGGGCGGGTGGTCTACTGCCGAGGGGAGCAAGCTTTGACAAGGAGGCATCTGGCAACGTGTATCCGAAGCCACAAAACTCTTTCTAGCTTTTAGTCTGGTAATCCAGTTCCTGAGACTTTATCTGACGGGGAAAACGTCAATCAAGGAGAAGAGCTGAGTGCCTAAGGGTGTTCGCCGCAGCAACACCCACCTTAGCAAAAACGCGAACCACCCCAGTATCTGTCAGTGGGGTTTCTCAGCCTCTTGGGAGCAAGAGAGAGTTTGCGGGGGCACTGACGGGGATGTGCCCCCACGTAATGGGGCAGGATAAGAAAGCTAATGGACAAGCCACGTGATGGGCTGGGGACGGACACAAGCAGAGCAGAAACCGCTGACCTTGTTACATGCGGTGTCACCATTCAGGCCTTGGAATAGCAGAGGGATGTCAAAGCTACTAAAGGAAAACTTACAGAGAGCCATTTCAACTCCTGACCAACAGCCAGGAGTTATTTTCTTTTTTTAATTTTTTAAACTTTATTTGTTTTGAGAGAGAGGGGGAGGGGGAGAGAGAGAAAAAATGTAAGCGGGGGAGGGGCAGAGAGTGAGGAGAGAGCAAACCCCAAGCAGGCTCTGCACCGTCAGCACAGAATGTGATGTGGGGCTCGAACTCACAAACCATGAGATCACGATCTGAGCCGAGATCAAGAGTCAGCAGCTTAACCGACTGAGCCACTCAGGCGCCCCGAGTTTCTTATTTACAAACCATTTCTGCGGCTGGAGCTGTATTCTCTCCCCTGCCGAACCACCGCAGGTTCTCTTCCCTCCCAGCACCTTAGTAACCACAGGGTCCCTGCTGGAGACAGATTTCTTCTCCTTCCTCCATACTGTCCTCTCCCCCAAAACCCAGGGTCCAGAAGCCATTGCCTACAGAGGTTTCAAATACCACCCAATACCCACCTGCCTGCAGAGCAGCTAATGCAAGAAGCTCGAGGTGTCTGTTTTTGTTTTCATCACTTTTTAAACTACAGACAAGTAGCATGTCACTTAAGAAGGTGAGTAACTCACAAACTGAAAGCAGCTCCGGACACTCGGCTCAATGTTGCTGCCCCCGAAGGACGCGACTTCACCCAACTGCCTCGGGATCTGGATAGAGTCGTGCAGGAGGAGGCCCAGCCTGCGCTGGTCACAAAATCCGGTGGAACTTGCCACTTGCTTGAAAAGGTCTGCGAATGGAAGGAGAGAAGTTCAACAACCAAAAAACAGCCATCGAGCAGAGGCTAGCAAAACCTTCCCGCCCCGACTCCAGGACTCGTTATTGAGAGGAGCCCATATTCCCACACAGAGGGGTTCCTTCTAATTCATGCAAATCCAGACATTTACTATTTTTATGGGTCAAGTTCATCATCACTGTGTATATACAAAATGTGACAGCTTTTAAATAAGCTACGGCCCTGCGAGAAACCAAGTTTACACACAGTCTTGACAAGTGAATTTTTCCTAGGCCCAAACATAATCCTTTGGGAGATATTTTATATGAAAAACCTAACCACTGTCAGAAAATAAATATTTTAGCAGAAAGAGCCACATAACTGGGGTCCAAAGCACCATCCCCTTGGGACACCAGAGATTCAAAAATGTACCCAAATTGGAACTTCTTTATGAATTCATAAGATTATGGACTTTCTTATATGTGTTCCCACAGGATGCTGCGTGTGTTGGTAAATTAGCCCTTAGCGCTCTATACTGTCACTGCTTTAGTGTATGTCTATCTTGTGGGCTAAAGAACAATATCCCCCTTGAGGGCAGGGACCATGTTAGGCCAGCCACATGCCAGAAGTATCATCACGGAAGGAGTGAGCACACCCGGTGCTTGCAATGTACGCTCTGTTCTCAGAAATACAATCAATCTCATCATACCTGGCATTCAAAGAAGAGATGCCAACAAAAGTAAATTCAAGGAAGCCTTTCCTCTTCATTAAGCACATTTTAAACTCTAAGTAATGAGCTATTTTCACCGGATATCTAAGAAGGCACGCACAGCCTTTTACCATCTCTCCAATACACACAGATTCCTTTTAAAATTATGAATTATTTTCACATATCTCAATTTCAAGTTATTATTTTTGTTTCACCAGCCTTAAAATATGTTCGCTCTCAGTTATCTGACATACAGGCCCAAAGCACCCTTTGCTATTACATTGTGCCAGCACTATACCACTGAGAAGGGTAGATTATCAACTAGCCTGTAAGTAATTCCACTATTTAAAGGAGGCAAACCCACAGGCATACTCTACTGTATCCAAAATACCTTTTTTTTAAATGGTTAACGAAAGCTGTTGGGCTATTTTTCTTTGGATCGGAGGAGAGAAAAAAAAAAAACAAAACAAAACCCTCAAGTGGAACTACATAAAAGTGAGAGCTAAAAGGCCTTGTGTATTTTCGTGGCTTCCTCCTGGGGGGAAATGAGTGGCTTTGGAGAAATTCAATCTCTTTTATCTCCCACCCATCCTTAAACTCAGCACATCTCATCCCTGCCTGGCTAGGCTTTAGGGAAAAAAAGAAACGACAGTACAGGCTAGGTTTGCTTAACATTCCCACCATGAAGACTTCTTACAAGCATTTAAAGGGGGAAAACCGAGTACAGTCTCTCACAGTGGGAAGGGATGCTTGTACTTGGTCACTGTGACCATTTTTTCTCCTCTAGCACTTGCTTTGAATTTGGACTCAACAATTTTAAGCCGAAGAACCCAATGGTTAACCAGAAGGAAATTCTTTAAGGTGATACTTACCCTGCAAGAAACGGCAAGCTATCGGTCTCTCCAGTAATAAAATGTAAGTCACGTCACAGACTGGAGATGTCTGTACAACTTGCCGTAAGATGATTATAAAATAAACAATGTTTCTTGAACGCGAATGCCAGCGAGCACTCTTTAAATAAGAATCCAAAGCCTCAGCAAGTGCACAGATTAAACCTTCACATTTATTTTTCTGACTCCCGCAAAGGGGTTAGGAAATCAGACTTTATCCTCTAGGAACATGTGTTTTATTCAGACACAGTCAACGTAATGTAAAATAATACTTGGACTAGAGAAGTTAATCCTCATTCTCTACTTAAATACCTGCAATTGAATGTGTGACAGGGAAGGGCACGAACCAAGGTTTGGGACTCTAAAAGCAGTTCTACATCTTATGAGAGGAAAATGCTGTCGAATAACACGAGTCATTCCCCCTCTAAAACGGGGGTAATGAAAGACTACAGAGTTAATACACGGGACTTACATCTGTACTTGTCTTCCAAATGCGCTTTACACAGAGAGATGATGCCAGTTTTGAAAGACAGGACCCGGATCCTCCCAGTTCGTCCCCTATTATGAATAATCAAACCAAATAACAATTACTGACACTTTACTAGATGGTAAACACTAGTGAAGAAAAATAACCTTGGACATGGGAACCTCAAGGACCACAGTTTTAGGAAACCAATCGTCTTAGTAACATGTGCCGAGAACTTTTCTGTTTATCATCTATTATCGTCATGATCTTCCTTATCTATTTGGCCGATGGCCTGGAACGCAATGGAAATCTGATCGCTTTGACCAATGAAGGACGACCACGTTTGCAATTCTTAGAACCCTCACTTGAATTCTCACAGTGGCTCTCCATCAAAAGGATACAAAATCACCTTCTATTCAATGGAGAGTCACTTCTATTCAATGGTTTAGGTTGGTCAGTGGCCGAATTCCTGGTACACACCAAGCTACTTTGGCCACTGAAACAAATTGCTTATTGTGGTTACGAAAACCAAAAAAATACCAATAACTGACTTGCTCTGCCCTCTTCAACACTCTTAGATTTTCATCAGACAGCCCCTCATTGAGAAGAAAATCGTTCAATTCAGGCCACATGACACATAATATGAAATATGTACATTTATCTCCCTAAGAAAAATACAATATCCTCTATTAGAGAACATTCAAAGGTATGATCTTGAAGAGCAATTTTAAAAACAATCTATCGCCAGATCAATGTTTTAAATATATTTACACTTTCACTTTACATATAAAGCTGAAATAAAGCATTCCATGTAACAAAGTTAATAATGGCTCATTTTATCCATGGGGGAAAAATGATACAGAAGAACAAAAAATTTTTCCTTTTGTAGAAAATGATTTTCAATAATTGGCAGCTTTTATTTTGTTATGGAAAGAAAGGAAGCCTTGAATGGTGGTTAAAAATAGAGGCAGAGATTGTAGCGTAACTCTCCCAGCTAGCACTTCAAAACTACAAGGAAAGGTCCCAACTGGAGTTCTTTTTGGTGAGCAATATGCCCAGGTTTTCACTGGTGCCATTTCCCAAAACCCTTGGTCAAAGAGAAATCCGGGACCTTAAAGCATTAACAAAATTACCACCAATGGAAGATTGTCTCCTCTTGCCCCTTTTTAAAAAAGGCAAATCAAAATCTTAACAAATAAACTTAATGAAGTATAAGTCAGGTCTTCAAGCAGTAACAACTGTCCCCAAGTAATTTTGAGGCAGGTAGAAGGGACCTCATAGATACTCAGAATCTATTCATATGTTCTCTGCAAAGAACATGGTACCAAAATAGATATGCGGGAACACCTGAGTACAAACTCTGATCAGAGCCAAGGTTAAGTGTAATCCACAATTAAAATCCAGTAAGCTCAAGGGCTTGGTAAATAATTATCAGAAGTAAATAGCCAGGTGGTCTTATAATTCAAAAAAGCACCACCTTATCAAAAAAAAAAAACCCCAAGAGGTATATGTCTTAACCACAGAGGTGGCAAAAAATCTACAACAAAGGCAAAAGGCAAAATAGCTGATATGCAGCTCCTTTCAGAAAGCCTTCCCAGATTTCCAAATGGGGATATGTTCTTGTTGGCATGTGAAATGAGGCATGTAATCATTGCGAGGTCCAAGAAGAATTCAGTCGAAATTAAGACCAATTCTGCCTGCTGCCTTCCTCAATCGTCTTCATTAAGCTCAAGACAAAAACTAGAACGGGGGATACCTCATGCGGGCAATCCAAAGGAAAAAAAAAACCCAAGGACGCACTAAGAGAATGGTATAAACTGGAGGTGCCAAATGGAAACTTTGTACAATGTCATAAGATGTCCTCAGTCTGAGAAGCCCGGTTTGCTCGCTCCATTAAGGCTCGTTCTCATTTTGTCTGGCTTGTCAACTCACAGACTTCTGCAAAAACCTTCGGGGTGTGAGCTAACACTACTCTGATGTGGTGACAGGTGCTCCAGCACCTTGAGGAGTGCATCCATTTCTGCCAGTGAGTGGGAGCCGCCCCCGAAGTGGATGGGAGAATTCAAATTACACAGGCAAGAAAAGGCTACATACACACTGACTCATCCTACTATTTGAAAAATGAGTATCTCAGGGTTCTGTTTGTTTTCTGAGAGCCACGTACGTTCTAGTTCTTACATCCTAGTTCATCAAAATAGTTTTCAGCTTCGATAAATGCAAAACTGATTTATCACAGGAGCGGCATGAAGTCACGGAGCTTCATGAGCCTTTCATCCTGAGGACAGGGCTTCCAGACCGGGGGCCCTGTTGTGACGCTAAGTACACTGGCACCATTCTGGACACTAAGCCTCCCGTGGCCGGGTCTGAAAAGAGCTGGCCATACGTACGTGTCGTAGACGTTGAGCAGCCAGTTGAGACACATATCCACGCAGAGAGGGACGTTGACCAGATTGTTGTGCTCTTGCTCCAGGCGGTCATAGACAGTGGTCAGACAGTTGATGACCTGCAGGATATCCATGGGCTGGTCATTTTGCTTGAGGTTGTGCTGGTCCAAGGCATCGCAGGCAGCTGACAGGCTCAAGAGATCCACTGCAAAAGCCACATAAAATCACAAGTGATTCTAAGGGGGAAACCCTCCTTTTTTGCTTTCCTTTGAAAATCCTGTTGAAGTTGTTCCATACACTTGAGTAAACACCTATCCCGAACCCTACCCTCTTTGAAAACGGTTTGTCTTCACCACTCCCGCCACCCCCAGCTCTGAGTTTGACGGCTGGAGGAGTGGTGATCTGAGGTCATAGTCAAAGCTCACTGGCACTGCGTGAAGAACGCAGGTAGAGGAAGCTTTCGTTCCTGAAGTGTGTGTGTGGGGGGGGGCGCTGAGGGTTAAGGGGACCTAGAGTGTTCTACTGGAAGAGAGTCATTTGCACATTCTGAGTAAGAAAGAATTTAGTTTACTAGAGCTATAGAAAGGGTTCCTGACAGTACTTTTTCCAATTTGTACTAGAGAAGGTCAGTCTGATTAATCTGTATGGTTAGGGTTGTGTAAACTCTATTTCCAGCTATGCATTTATAATCATTAAGCGATTTTTCCCTGGAAATATCAGTCACCTCACAATCTTTCTGCCACCTTAATGTTAGGTGAAAAAAATCATCAACTTAACTGAACTTTTCAAAAGGAAAACTAACTGTATAATCTATTCAGTTTTTAGACACCTGGCTCACTTATTTCTTTCACCTGCAAGTTATATTTTACAGTATCTTTTCAAGTCCACTAAGAACTTTATACGATGGGGGATGTGGGGTGGATCCCCTTGGTCAGAAGTGGCATTCAGTCAATACGCTCAAAGACAAAACTTGAACGAAAGAGAAACCTCAACCTTGTCCAACATCAGCACATCGCAAGCTTTCCTCCCGAGTGTCACAGGAAGGTGCTTTGCTCTGAAGCCAATTCATTAGCCACATCAGAAACACAACAACAGGGCTTTTTATAAAACATCTTGCACACTTGAGCTCTGGTCCAAATCCTTGGCCCTTTGAGACAAAGAATCGATGGTAATTAGGTACATCTCTCGCCCATGTGGGGGCGGGCACTACAATTATAAATGTAACTGCAGATAAACATGGACCATCCCAGTCAGTAAACAGCTTGCCCAGGGCTCAAAGGACGCAGATTTAAAGGGCCCTGGTCCATTTTACTAGTTATTTGTGGGTAGTTCTAATTAAATACTAAGGAAAACAAATTGGGGTTAAATCCTCCATAGGTTCATACCTATGTGGTGCGTTTTTCTCTTTTATAAAAGAAAAACAGTAACCTTTGAAGTCTCCCTGGAAGCAAGCAAGGGGCCTGGTAGAAGAAGCAGGAGAGGATTTGGTCTTTCATCGCAGTCAGTAAAGCTCGGTGCTTCCACGCACTTGGCCTCCCCTGCCAGGGACTAGCACTCACCCTGTCAAAGCAGAGCCCGTGCCTTTCGTGTGGAAACACTCGCAGGATAAAGAAATGACCTCTTTACATGGAAGCCAAGACTTGATTCAAAGTGGCAGAAAAGAACATAACTTGACTTGAGAGGGAGGCAGGTAGGAAAAAGAAGCAAGAATTAAAAAACTAACAATGCAAGCAGGCAGGGGGTCCCGAGGAAGGGAAGACCCAGCGAGCGACACTGCAAGGGAGACTGCAGAGACGGACAGGGCCCCAAGACGCCAACTCCCGTCCTCTCTTGCACGTGCCGGACTTCCTCAGAGGACAAATGTTCTGGGCCAGGTGGTGAGAACACGCAGAGATGCGGCTCACCGTTTCCATTAGCGAAAGAGAAGAACAGATTTCTTCCAAATACCAATACGCTCAGCATGACTCTTCGCAAACTGAAGGAAGCTCTGGGTGGTTTGAAGTTTTTCTATTATTTTCTTATTACTCTGCCTTAATCATTACAAATATTTTGCCGTCTGTCCAAGGATACACGAGCTAGCAAGTGGGAGCCGTGAGACTCGCTTTTGTATTAAGAGTCTAATTTACTCGCGTGATGGAAGCAAACAAACCAGTGGCAAAATTGCACGCATTTCTTTTAACCGAGTCTCCTCTGCTCTCTGTACAGGTGAACGGGTAACACAGAGAACAGAAACCTTGGAGGGGAGTGAGGCAACAGCTCTGAAAGAACAGGAGCAGAGAGGACACAGTCAGGAGAGCAAAACTGTGCGCTGAGCTCTGCCGAAGCCGGGTGGGGTTCCACGTGAGAAGGCTCCATCACTGAAGACCGCAGAACACGTCTGGCCCAAACAAACATACCCAACAGAACGCCACTTTCATAGAACAATTCTTTTCCAAGACTTCTATGTAGGTACCCGTGGCCAATGCTATGGACTTGCAAAGAGGTGAGAAAATCGACAGGGACAATCGAATTGCCACACAGACACGCACCCGGGTGTTCAAAACGACCATCTTAGAGAATATACGGAGACTATTTGATGAAACATTAAACGTAATGATGAACTGTTTCTAGAAGCCTCATAAAACAACCAGCAGACACAAATCTGTGCCACTACTCTTTTACCTCAAACTAGGAATTTCCATGGGGGAGGTGGGGGGGGATATATGTATGTTCTTACTAGGGAATGTATTCTAAAGCTATATAAAAACCCAAGTATGTGCTAATATACCCACTCTTTCAAAAATCTTCTGTACAGTCCAGGCTGCTGTAGGTTTTGACAACACTGTAGAAGAGGGACCGTCTGGTGGTGTCCCTGTGCATGAGGGCTGTGGGGTTGACGGGGGCGGGGACAGGAGCATCTCCCCAGGACCTTCCCTGCCTTGTAGGAAAAGCAGAAAATGAAGCAGGGGCAGGGGTGGGAGGGGCCTTAGCACAGGATTCCATTAATGGTTCCTGAGGCTCTGGTTGTGACTCATCACCCTTTCAACATGCTAGGTTCAAACGCTAACTCTGGTCCTTTCCACCTATGCCACAAGTGAGGAGCTGAAGCCCAGGTTTCCCCCCACCTCCCTTTTACTGAATCATAGGCTTGGAGAACTAGAAAGCACCTTTAGCATCGGTGTGCACTTGAGAAAACTGAGAGCAGAGATAAGAAGGCCTGCGTTGGGTGTTATCACGGGACACACGGGGGTGCGTATTGAAGGGCAGAGGTGCGCCGGCTGGCTTCGTCTGTTCAGTGACTTCAGCTCCTGAGCCTGGTCACGAGATCGAGCCCCGTAGTGGGATTCTCTCTGCTCTCTCTCAGCTTGCGCACTCTCCCTCTCCCTCTCTCTCTCAAAATAAACAAACATATAAGAAAAGAGCAGAAAGGTCGGTTGCAGAAGGTGTCCCTTTAGACTTCGCTGAAAAAGCAAAGCATCCCACATCCTCACCTGGCGACAAGGGTGGGAGAAAGAAGAAACACGAGAGCGTTGGTTAGGGTAAGCCCCATGGCGCCCACCTATCAAACTCATTCCCGGGCTCAACCCGGAGGCCCGGTGCCAAAATCTAAACAATCCTGTAACCTAATTCGTGCAGATAGAGGCAGGGGGGCGGGGCAACGGCGGGATAACCACTGGGTGTTTGCCGGCTCTCGGCCCGGCACGAGGCACCTGTGGCAAGAGGCTGTTGCTGACATCGTGCCCTCCCACCTGCAGCCAACGCTCCAGGCTGCAGGACCCTGCGAACACATCGGCGCCCGGCAAAAAAGTCAGTGCATTCTGACGTGGTTATCTGTGCCGGGAGGGTTAACTCCAGAGGCTCTGGGGTTGGCATAACATGTTTTTTGCTAAACTAGCTACACAATGCAGAGCCTTGATCAAAGCAATGAAAGAAGTGCCTTACTGTGTTGACGGGTAGCCACGGGTTACAGGTCATCATTACTGTTTACTGCTCGAAGTAACACTGACCATCTTTATCTGGCCTGGGGACTGGCTACGCGGGAAGAAAAGGCCCCGGTTACCAGAAGGCTTTAAGAAACCCTGTGTGAGTCCACTACGTGCTCCCTGGCTTCCCAAGCGACTTGTGCTCACACTGCTGGTTCTTGACGCAAGAGATGAAGGGCATCCTGGTAACACCTCACAGAGAGTGGGCGCCTCGAGCTTGCACCTGGCTCCCCGGGCCCTATGCTGTGAGGCAGCCTGTGGTTTTGATGCATATTCTGCTTTTAATGTCGATGGCATATTGTAGCCTTTTCCCGTAATGAACTATAAATTCTTAAGCTCTGTCATTTGGGTTCCATGAGTCTGCTTAGCAACTGAGCCCCAACTGCTACTCCCAGTGCAATTAGTGTCAGCAGTGAGATTGTTTAGAAGACCCCCAACTCATCCTTAGCTAAAAATACGGCTACGGTATTACTGAAAAAGGAAAATAAGATGATTCTGATAAAAGGGATGAAAATGAATCGTTGATGCCGGTGGCCAAACTACCCTTGACTGCAAGCAGCACAGGCCTTGAAACCGGCTATCATGTTAGAACACTAATGCAATTTAGGAATGGTAGACCCTGAACCTTAGGAGCTAACAAAAGGGATCACAAAAAAAAAAAAAAAAAGCAGGTCTGCTCAAGATTCCTTGGAAGCATTAGCAAAGCTCAAGGACATTCATAATCGCCTTCCAATGAGATTCACGCTCTCTGGCCTGCAGGTGGAGATCTAACCAAAGGAACCTGGACAACTCTCACTTTGATAAATGGGCTACACCTGTAAGACCACTTGCAATTAAAAGGATAATTCAAGTGGGGAACACCCACAGGTGCCCCCTAATTCACCACATTTTCTTTCTCACTGCCATGCCTAGCCGTCCCTGGACCGGGGCTCCAATTAAGGGTCTGAAAGGCTGGTAATATTCTCAAACAGGACATTATGGCTATTACTTGGAACATTAAGTGTAAGAATTCCACAGCGGCTGATGGAATGGATTACTCCTTCCCCACCCCTCAACTAATTGGGGCAGACTGTCACAAATGTTTTGTTGCCTAGAAACAGGATAACCCCATTTTTCTGAACGAATCCACTCTAACCCTTTACCACTGGGAAGAGACTGAAGGGGAAGCCGGAGCCCGTCTTATGTTGCTACCAGCTGAATATGCACTAGGCAAGTGGCTGAACCCAAGGGACATACAAAGTGT